ACACACACACACACACACACACACACACACACACACACACACACACATACCATACATACGTACGTACATACACACACAGACGCAGAGCGTACACGCCCGCGCGCATACACAATTAACTGAGTACGAATTTGTTATACATTTGAAGTAAACAAAACACATTCTTAGCTAATTATTTAATTATATAACAAATTAGATTTTAGTATTTGAATTTAAAATTGTTTTAGTCGTTATTGCAAGCGATGCCAACTATTCACTTACATACATCTACGTAAGTAAATGTATGTAATATGTAATTATAGTAGAAATTAAAAAAAATCAATAAAAAAATATATAAATAAATATGATTATTTATCACAAGTTTTTATAAAAAAAAAAAAAAAACAAAAAACAACAGAATAACGATAGGGAGGTTACATTCGGTTTGAACCAAATCTTCGCATATTCACCACCTATAGTATAAGTTATTTTGGATATATGCTTTATTGTTGAAAAGATTCTTAATGCCGTAGTATATACACTTATCGTAGTGGGGACTTGACATCTTTTACCCTCTATATAATATGATGAAAGTCAAAGCACAGAAGTTCATATGTTAAGGAAGAAATTTTTTGCTACTATTATTGTTATTATTATTATTATTATTATTGTTATTGTTTTCCGACATAATCTAAAGCAGATATAGGAAAATGCAATACACAGTTGTTATAACTGGTATCGCGTGTAAGTCATATTTCTTCAGAAATTATTGGTGTTGTATGTAGAGAGGGGCTGAGGTATATTTTGTGTTTTTTTTCTGGCGAGCTCATGGAAGACATCCAGACCGAAGATATCAGATCGCTATAAAAAAATTATTTCGCACTTAATTAATTAACTAATCGGGATCTTCTCTCTTTCAATATATGTAATTAACCAAGGTAAGAGACCATTTCACTTCGAATATAACATAACAGATTTGGAAGGTGGCTTTAAATAACGGTCTAACTAACCACTTTGCAGTGTGGTCTGGGTAGTGCATTGGCAATCGTTCAAACTCAAACTCGATTTAAGGCATCTTGTCTTCGCAAACATGATAATTTTATATGATTGCTCTACGCAACTATCAGTAGATCAAGATATGCTCTCTCCATGATAGTTCTGTATGGCAATTAAAAATCAATATAAAAAATTCATTTTTAAATTATATCATCAAGGATTTGGGCAAGAAGGCAGGACTTATAGAGAGATTTTCAAACCTCAAGAAGAAAATATGAAACAAACGGTTGTGGTGGTGGTGGTGGTGGTGGTGGTGGATATTATTAAAACTTTAACAGCAACAATGTACACAAAAAAATTGTTACTTGTTTATATATATCATTCTGATTGTTGCCATTTTACTATTACATGTATATAAACATAGATTTCAAAATGTTATTAATAAGATAAATTAATAAAAGATAAACTGAACGCATTAATAATAGTATTACAAAATTGTTGTTGTTGTTGTTGTTGTTGTTTTTGTTGTTGCTATTCTGTAAATGCCACTTTAAAATTTTACGCAAAACATATATGTAAACTTATTGTTAAGTACACTAATATACATATACAACCATATGCATGAATTGAAGAAAGATTCGTGTTATAAAAATAATTAAAAAAAAAAACTTCCAACTTGAACTTCTCGGACATATTGAAATGCATAGAATTCACTTGCTTTTCTTCTTTGCTCTTTTTTTTTTTTTTTATTATATAAGTCTATAATTATAAGGTATAATGCAAGTATTTTTTTGTGTGCAAGCATTCTAAGTATAATTTGAACGATTTAAGAACGATTACGAAAAATTCGCAATAATTGCTATAAATCTTTGTCATATGTATTTCATCTTGTTCTCACGCTTGAGCATATACGTGCATGTATTTATAATAATTAGTTTTAATCATTATTTAAATATTTAAAATTCTCATCAAAATTGACGTAAAGTTTGGCGAAAAAAAAAGAAGAAAACTAAAAGAATCCATAGTATTTGCTTAAATATATTTGCTTAATATGTGTATGTATGTGTTTTTCTTGTCGTTGTTATTGTTGTTGTTGTTCTCTTGTTTATTTCATTATTTATTTATTTATGTTTTCTGAAAACTATTTTCACCTAAGATAATCAATCACCCAAAAACACATTCGACTTTCGTTCTGTGTGCATATATATGTGTATGTACAGAACTGTGCACAGATATGCATATGTTTTGTTTGTAATGCTTAACTTACCTTTCAAATAATTAAGAGTACATGTTCAATGAAAGCATGTGTGTGCCTGTGTATATGTGTGTATGTGTATGTGTATGTGTATGTTTGTGTTTGTGTGCGCACATATTGATTTATGATGATTTTCATTTGATTCATTTGACAAGTGGAGACAGCTGGCTAAGTGTGCTGAAGAAGGGAATGCGATAAAGGCGGTTCGGGGTGGCGGGGGGAAAAGATGTCAAAGATCAATGGGCGAGAGAATATTCAGTTTTCTAATTGGCTTATGTTAGTTATATCAATTTCTTATCTTTTTTCTATATATGTTTGTTTAATGCATACGGTTTGGTTTTACATTTGTTGTTCTTGCTGTGATTGTTGTTTATTTGTTAGAATTATTGACTTTTGATTATTTTTGATTTTCATTTATTTATTGTTGTTAGAGTTTTTTGTTGTTTTGTTTTTTTGTTTTGTTTTGTTTCGTTTTGTTTTGTTTTGTTTGATTTGAATATTATTAGTAATTTTGATTTTATTGCTTTGAAGCCGTACAAGTTATTTTTGATTTAATTAATTGAACTGTAACTGACTGATGATGCTTGTGCTTCGCTGTATTATATGCTGACAAGTCCTTGGAAAAGTGCTTTTCTTTTCAAATAATCTCTTTTCTTTTTCTTTTTCTTTTTCTTGTTCTTGTTCTCTTTGTTTCTTTTGCTGCAATTAAATAAAGCATTCACCTAATTGCCTTTTTACCAGAGTAACGATATTTATCATTTATTTACTTTTACGATACGATATCCATTCGGTAAGTTTTATCTTGCATATCGTTTCTCGTATGCATACAAATACAATTTCAGGCTAAAATTATAGAATTTTCAATCATTTGGGCGGGCGTGCATTCATTCATTCATTTATCATAATTAATAATAAATCTTCGTCCCTAAATTTCGTTACGGCTTTGTGCTTCTAATTTAAATGCTACCGTCATTGCAATGGCAATGGCAATATGCATTGCATTCTTTAACGTTTAACAATAAATTGATATGCTTCGTGAGTCATTTACCTACTATATCAAATTCAAATGTGCCTCTTGATTTTGCTTTAAAGAATGGTTGGTAATAATAAAAAAAAAAAAAAAAAAAAGAAAAGAAAAGAAAGCCTTCTCAGCAAGGACCCATCCATATGTATTGTAAAGGAATGTGTGCTCTTTATTTTATTTTAATATTTCCTAATAAAACATAGTGCTCTGTTGTCTGATTAAATCTTCTTTATTTTTGGTTGGGTATTAAATTTTGATTTAATTACGATTTCGTTTTTAGTTTTCTTATGTTTCTCTCTCGTATATATTGGTTTTGTTTATCATTTTGCTTTTATTATTTGTATTAATTTATTTATTTATTTATTTATTTATTTTTTTTTTGCACTTTAAGAGGTATTGAAGTGAATTGTTGCGATTTTGGTTTCGCGTTTGAGTAAGTTTTCCTTAAGCTTTGACTTCGAAGTCAAAATCCATTTTCGTCCTCTTACTTTCCACTGATCATGTTCTTCAATAAATAGAATTATTTGCGCTTCATTTATTTATTAGTTTTTTCTTTGATTGATGTTTGTCCTTTAAAATGTAATTGTTGTTGTTATTTTTGATGTTCTTGTTGTTCTTGTTGTTCTTGTTGTTATTGTTGTTGTTTTTATTGTTATTGTTTTTATTGTTATTGCGATGTTATTTATTTCGTTTAGGGAAATTATGTTTATAAATTGCTAACACTCTTTCAATCTTATGACGCTTAAGGTTAGTATGTCTGGTTTGTTAGTTTTGCTTGTGTATTGCATATCAACGTACGTTGATATAATAACTAATTCAGCTACATTTCTATTTCCATGTATGTTGAAGGTATGTACATATCTTAGGAACAAGAGTGCATTGTGTAATGTCTTATGTCTGAGTCGTTAAAATTTGTTTTTCTTTTAAACATCAATTCTCGTTAATGAATTTCATTTAAATCCTATTTCTTTAATCTAGAGGTATACGTACGTATATATATATATACGCTTATTGTGTATATGTGTACGTACTAATCTTTCTATTTTATTTATTTATTTATTTATTTATTTTTTTTTTAGTAAGTAAGTGTTGGTATTATTGTTTTTGTTTTGCGTACAACCTTATGAAATAATAAAGGAGATGATCACCGATTACATTCAGATGATTGATGGTTTGACCCGTTTCCAAATGCCGCTAAACGTAATGAGGGATTAGCCATAGTGACATCAAGTAGACTGTTAGCTGCAATGGTGCCCATAATTCTTTTAGAAAAGCTTCCACTTCGGCTATACTACGATAAATAATTTTAATCGATGTTAGTAGTAAGCTATGTGGCGGCAGTTTTAAACATGTATTTCATAGTAATCATTACAATCGATGCATCCACCGCTTCCTGCCGTTTCGTTTACATGTCTAGTTGTGGAGGTTTGTTGATGTTGCGTGTCGTATAGACTGGTTTCGTATGGTTCTCCGTATGCATTGACTGCGACAGCGCCACGTGGTATCTTTTTCCGCGTACGGCTTTGTCGTACGCGGCTCTTATGCTAGGATGGTTTCTTCTGATATAAACAATCGATGCATGTTGTATGTTCTGGCGCCGAAGAGCTCATTTGGTAGGGACGGTCGTGGGGACATTGCGATTCATGCTGCAATAATCGGCCAGTATTATAATAGCAGTGCTCGACAGCAGCAGCAGCAGCAGCAGCAGCAGCAGCGGCAGAGTTGCCCATCTCCTGTCTATATTGAGCGAACGTATTTTCGGCGGATTGTGAACGTATCGGACCTGCGCTTAGATCCATTGTATTAATTCCATAAACGCGCTCTGGAGAAATTCCGTAACGATAGTGAGACGAGCTTGCATGGCTATCCCGTGAAAGTGATCGTTCTAAAGATTTGGTACTACTATGTCTTGCTGCTTCTGGTCGTCCACTCTCACGGCCATCACGTCGCGTCACAGTAACTGGAACAAAATGATCGCTACAAGTACGATTATCATAAATTGGATAATATTTATAATAGGTTTCAGTCTGCTCCTCATAATCAAAACTGCCATGGGCCGATAGGCTGCGTTTGCGTCCAACGTCTGAGCCGCGTTCAAGAGGACGTAAATCGAAGCTGCCCCGAGGCGATTTGAGCGCTGGTCGTGGTATGTCGAGATTTGGCTCCGAGCTGCGGCTGTCAAAACTACTTCTCGGTGAATGACGAAGGCACAAACTGAGACCACCTGTTCCACTTCCATTGATGCCCGTTCCACTGAATCTCTCAGGGGACAAATACTCTACGCTATTATGAGGTGATATATGTGGAGATAATGATTCAATGCTGCAATCATGTGTGAGTGTAGGCTTTTTCAAACAACTACGATCGGGACTTTTTGATTTTGATGGGCTTGATGGTAACTTTAATATACTGGCTGACGGACTCGATGAACGTTTGAGTATCCCACCGCCACCCTCAGACGCTCTGCGAGAGCTTTGTGTCCGGTGACCATTAAATAAACGATCTTGTGAAGAGTCTCGACTGGAATTAACACTTAAACGCTTGCCTTGTTCACTTAAGCTAGTGCGCGGAGATTTTATCTTAATTATGCGTACTGGTGAACTACCCTGAGATTTAGACCGATCTGGTGAAATGTATATGCTCTGACGTGGAGATTTAACCAATTTTGATTTATCACTTATCCTTCCTAAATTGCCTCCCTTGCCATTTAAATTAGTCTTCGATGGCTTTTGTAGTTTTTCCGTTGATTTAGATTTGAAAACTTTGTCTACTTTCTTATCGATTATTACATGGTAAGAAGAAGTGGAAGCTCCATCTTCTGATTCGTCCTCTGATTTTTCCGAAGTGCCTGTGGTTGTACCGGATTCTGATTCCGTCGCTATAGCACGCGGCGGCGATTCGATATCAGCAACCACTGTCTGCTGGGTATTCTCTACGACGGTCTGAGGTTCGGGTGAAAGACTTGAATCATTTTGTTGCTGGTCTTGAGGGTCCATTTGTAAGTCATTTGATTCTAATGTCTTTTCTTTCAGATTAGCCATGTATGCCTCAATGTCGCAAGTGGTATCTGTTAGATTATCCTGCGCGAGCTCACTTAAATGTTTATCCATATACCTTGTGCCGCTATCACCGTTTTGTTGCTCACTCGGAAAACTGTGACGCCCAGAAGCTCTTTTGGTTGATTCTTTTGACGCAACATGCACAGCTGGAGCCTGTTCAGCTGTGCTTTTGCTTTTAGATTCTTTATAGAACATTTCAATAACTTCTATATCTTTTTTGGGTGATTGTCTAGGTGAAAACCTGTTATTCACATGCATGCTATTATCGGATACAACAGACACAGTGTCACTGTCGTAGTCATGCCGAGAAGAGCTAGCGCTAACAGTTGTAAATAAGCTACCACTACCACCTAAACTTAAATTAAAAGCAGCCGCCAATGTAGCTGCCTTTAAGTCCGACTCTAACGTTAGTTCATCGGGGTCGTGGGCAGACTCTGCAGTAACGGATTCGATTTCTGAGCATGCACTATCTTCTTGGGGAGGAGGAGATTGTATTGTATCTTTTGAAATTGAGCTACTCTTACCTAAATCTTTCATAAGAATGGGTTGATAAGTTGATGGCGGGTGTGACGACTGTATGAGTCGCGCCTGACTTCCTGTACTGCCAACGGATAATGTTGAAGTTGTGCTGCGGAAATGATGAAAATTCAGTTTTTCAGAATCTGTTTTTATACTTACGATTGATACAATACCTTAAAGTAAGATGATTGGGTGTACGACCAAGCGAGGGTTTCGTTTTAATGGTGCCGTGTTGAAATTCTTCCTCACCTTCGGATTTTGTGCCCGGGTCCATACGTTCGGTATCACTCTGTTGTTGGTGTTGGATGTTGTCTGACGAAAAGTAACAGGAAAAAAAAAAGAAAAGAAAGACTCGAGTAACATAATCCTCTCATTATCTATATTACTTATGCATTTACCGGATGCATCACCCAGTGCTTTACTACGCAATTGAAATTGAACTGGATGTAATTGCCCCAGCTGGTGTTCGTGAGCATGAATTGAAGTAGAGGGCACATCGTCGGCTTCCTGGCTACCTGAGATGTTGTCGTAGTCGATATTCCCAGCCGAATGGCGTTGAGATCCAGACTTCTTTTTGGGTTTACCCAAGGTCTGTGAGCCTTGCATAATGGTTATCTATTGAGCAGGTGTTGTGTCATAAAATTTGCATGAGTTATTATAAAGTAATGTGAAAAGAAGTACGAACCTGCTGCTTTGGACGCTCCAAAGTTTGGGAGTTACATACACCTTGGGATGTTAGACTTGATATTGAAGTGGAACCCCCGAAGTTTTTCATAGGAATGGACATGTTACGTACGCTTTCGCGTATAATTTGCCGTATAGTCTTTAGGAATGCATTACGAAAGTCGGCAGTACTATTCGACAGCACATATACCTTCTCAGAGCGCCGTTGTAATTGTGAACGCAGGTGTATCAATTCCCACAAAAAATGCGAGTCCATATCTTTTGCTGAGGATGCTCGCACCTGAACTTCCGTTACTGGTATTAATACCTGATAACGTATTATCTCGACTTCATTTGGAGCATTTTTGCTTGACACTCCCTAAGATTAATCAAATTATGAGTTTACGTATGCAATTTATGTAAAGTTAAAGGGAAAATAATAATAGAGAGTGCGTAAGAAAGAAAGCCTTACCATAAGCTTTTTCTTTTGCCGTAAACGCTCTTTACATAGAAACACAACCGCTGATTTGAAGACGAAACACATTGCATGTAGCTCTAGACCTTTCTTAATTTTACCCAAAAAATCGGAAATATTCAACCATTCGACACCGCCATAATACAAGAGGTCACCTATACAGTAACAATAAATTCTAGATCAGATTAAAAAATATTTCGATCATAGTTATGAAGATAGATGATCTTACCGGGACTCAAGTCAATTGGCTGCTTGCACGATTTTTGATGTTGCCGGAATAAATGATCGAAAATAGCACCATACTCCTCATGAATCCTTTGCATTTCATTAATATGCTCAGCAACTTTTTCCATACCCTTTAAGGCCTCTGCAATTGCAACAATTGAAGCAGGTTCTACATTTACAGTTTAATTTTCAATGAGCACTTACCGCATAAATGTAAATGTTCGTCAGCTCGTGAGTCAGTTAAATTACGTAACTGTTGCAATAACAACGGATACTTAAGTATGCGCTGTATTGGCTTTATTAGATACGATTCCAAAGTACAACTATGTTGCTGCTTGGGATTACGAGCGGCTAGGAACTCTTGCAATGCATGATTTCCTTCATCTGAAATGATCGTGTTATCAAGATCAGTAACGTTAATCTTAGTTCGATTCAATCTAATTTCATAAGACTAATTACAACAACAATATTAGATAACAATTCACATGCCACCGTCTATAAAATCTCATTCTTTGTGTTCTTATATTAAAAATGAGCAAATTAATAATAAACATAAAACGCAATTCTTCAACGATAACTTGATAATTAATTAACTCAATACACCCAGAATGCCCTTAACACTACCCAAAGTCTCTCGAGTAACTCGATTAACAAATTTATCAGAACCAACTTACATCATTCGTTTTTAGCAAAAAAAAAATACTTCCCATAACATTCTTCTTAATACTTCAATAACTTGAGCACGAAATACGATTTGTGCGGCTTTGAATTGTGGCAGTTAGTTATGCGCGATCTGTTTGTTTGCGCAACAACCGGGCATGTACGGAGGACATGCAATCGAAGGGAAGAATATGTATATGAATCAATTATTATGATTTCATATTGATATGTACGTAGAATGATCGAGTTTATAATTGAAATATAATATAAAAAATGAATAAAATAATAAACATTTGTGTGTTTGTGTGTGTGTATGTGTGTGAACACAGAGAATGAGTGAATAAGATTTTCGTCACAATATTCGATTATTGGGGATTTTATATAGGAATATGTTTGTATGTACTTACTTGGATGCAGAACCTTTTGTGCTTTACTATGACTGGCACAAAACGACGAATAGAGTTTAAAATGATTTACATAGTATAGGAAAGCAGATCCGATTGCAAATAGGACATTCTGAAATACACATTACATCATATCAATTTAATGGCAAACTTTTCTGCTCTAATTTCACCGATCTTAAATACCCATCGCTTTATAATCGACATTTACTTTAAACTTGACATAATATAAAATATATATACCTATTGGATTACTTAGGTCCGCTTAGGTCCGAACGTAGCTGACAATGTGCTCACATAATACTAGATTCTTAGACATTGAATAATAAAATGTCTATTTTTCTCTTATAGAATTTCCAAACCCACTATTGCACAATCATGCAAGCTTAATTACATCGTCTGATGTTTGCACGACCTCAAGTCTCTTTGGTTCGTTAAACTGATACGATTTGTTTTGTGATTACAGTAAACGAATCAAGATGAAGTGGTAACTTTAATCCATTCGATTAAATATGAAGACAACTATTATTTTATGCGTAAAGGATGGTTTATGATGCGAAATGGCGCAGAAAGCCAACAAAACTTTGTTAAGGTAATCGCAGAAAATTCACATTTCGCGTAAGAACGATTGCGCGTGCAGCTCTTTATTTTAACATAGGAAGATTACTCTTGAAACATATATACCGAAGTTGCTTGTTGTTTGCGATAATGAGAAGTTCTAGTTTTATCTTATTATTATTATTATCATTATTAATAATTTATTTAAAGTAATTAATTTAAAGACTAAAGTCTTAAAACATTTGCTTCTAAGGGTATCGGATTTATTGAAAGCATAATGCATAATGTGACATATATATATATATGAATATATATGTATATATGTATATATTTTGGGAAAAGTGATTCGATGATGAAACTCAATTATTTTGCTTGATAGTGTGCTCCTAATTTAAAAACTAATTTTATTTAAATACTAATAAACTCTGCAAACATCTGCGACATTATGTCTAACCAGCTAAAGCTTTTCAATCAAAATACATTAGATATTGATGTAAATAAAACAATGTTCAATATAAATTCTAAAGAAATTATTAAAAGATGATACGAATTATTCTGCGTATCAAGCATCAATTCACAACAAACGAATTAAGATAAATTGCACGCTCGCTTGTGTAGCAAAGCTATTTACAGTCATGTTTGTTAAATTAAATTAATATAAATAATGAAATACGTTTAATTCACAAGATCGATGCTTTTTAAAAGAGAGTCACTATGTAATCTATATTCTACGATAACGTATCAAAATTAAATTTAATTCACTATAGTCAACACAAAGTTTTTAAAAGTATAAGCGACATTGTCCAATACTGAATAACGAACGTTTGCCAATATCTTGGCAACGACGTAACCGCAACCGTAACCGCTTGGCGATGGGTGTGAAAGTGATGCGCAATTATCTGAATTGATTGATATGTTTGGATTCGTACTTACACGGAATTGACTAGAGTGTTCGAATTTATGAAAATCTGGTTCAAGGTCTAGAGCTTCTTCAAGATTTTGTAGAAATTGTCTTTGGAATGTCACGATTTCATGAATATTGCCAAATAAAGCGTTAATTTCAGCACTAGAGAGAAACGTTTCACGTTTCAGAGGCTCCAGGTAGTTCTCCAGTAGGTTATTTAAATGCTGTAAACGAGTCGAATGGTTAAGATTGAAGAGCAACGAATGGCGTATAATTTTCGCCGTCTTTTTACCTTGACGTAGGTTTTTTCAGTATCAACCAGTTCTAAAATGACCTTGCGCAGCTTTTCGGCATCTGTGAGTTGGCGTGAGGGCGTAAGGGCCGCATTCGAAACTGACGATGTAACCGAACCAGTTGGACTCGCCTTACGGGTTTCCTGAGGTGAACGACAAAATCCAGTAACCTTGAGAGGCGAGGCGATGGTATAGATTGTTGTTGTTGTTGTTGTTGTTGTTGTTGTTATGATCGTGGTTGTGGTTATGATTATAATAGTAGTAGTAGTAATAGTAGCAGTAGTAGCAGTAGTAGTAGTAGTAGTAGTAGCAGTAGTAGTAGTAGTAGCAGTAGTAGTAGTTGTAGTTGTAGTTGTAATTGTAGTTGTAGTAATAGTGATGATTGTGTATACGCATTAAATGTCACGTGTGTGATTTTAGGCCCAATAAAAAAATGAAGGACGCGGGAGTATGAAGAGAGAATAAAATGAATTTAAAACGTTTAAAGAGTGCGTCGAGAAAGAAATGAGGATTGTACGAGTTGGGTGCTTGACTGCATGAATGTGCGTATTTATGGGCTTGTGTGTAATAAATATATTAGTTAAAGTTTATATATAGTTCGTGTCTTCCTTCTAGCGGATTTCTTCAATGCAAGCATTTGAATAATTAATTCATGAGTGCTTTAAAGAAAGTAGGTACTGCACATTCATACATATATATATATATATATATATATATACACACACACACACACACACACACACACACACACACACACAACGCATACCTCTCTATACAAATAACGACGATATACGTTTATGCACATAAATACGCCTACGCCTAGGCCATTGTTGTTTTGATATATTTGGTGCATTAAAAACATTTGACAGTGATAGTTGACACAATGGCAACCACAAAATGTTTGTGGTTGGTGTGTAAAATATATGCACATACGGAGACGCACAAATAAACATTTGTACGCATATATACAATGTCTGCTGGGTTTTTGATATTATTGCATACAGTCAGTCGTTTATAACTTGAGGGAACTGAGATCTATCATATCTAACTACGGTTATCTATGTGTGTGTTTGTGTGTGTGTGTGTGTGATATGTGTTATGGATGTTAGTGTGTTTGTACGCTTTTGTATGTTGTTGCATGTGAATGCGGCTATATGTTGCTTGCAATATGCTAAATGTGGCTTAGTTGGTTGTGTATTATTATTATTGTTGTATGTGTTACGATTGTCTTGTTTTTTAAGAATATCCTTGATTTACATAAGCAGCTTTTGCCTTGATGAAGTGACGCTACATACTCTCATATTTCTTACATATTTTCTGCTCTTCGTATTTCCCTTTCCTTCCCTCTCTCTCTCTCTCTTTCACTCTCTATCATTCATTTTGCTGCGATATACGTACGTCTGTCCGCCTTAGTTTTGAATCAACAATAGAACAATCCAGATTTTACTAAACTTAAATTTGCGCCTTACTGGCTGCGTACGAGTGAATATGTGCCAGTGTGTGTGCTAAAACTATTGGCAGTGTCTTCAATTTAAAAGGATTCCCGCAAAAGTTTACATGAAGCATAGGGAACAATTTTCTTTTTCCATTCATATATAAATGTTTTGGGTACGCAGGCATATCTGTTCGTTCATACATATTTTTTACACATATTTTCATAAATTTTTTATTACATATTCTATAATATGCGCTATACAAAAAAATTCAGATATGTAAACGTATTACGTCAACGTCGAAAATTAAATTTTTAAGTTATATCTTTCATAAAATGTGCATGCCACACCCATTCCATGTGCACAATTAAAATTTTTAATTGCTTTAATTTCAAAATAAAAAATGTTATTAAAGAAGACGAATTTGACTTTGTCGATAGTCTGCAAGTGTGTTGGAAAAATTTAAAAATAAAACCAAATTTCCTTCATGCTGCCCGCATACGTACGTAGAGAGACTATTGTTGTGAAATTTTCGGACAATTTAGAATAAGATTGTTTTCAACTAAAAAACATTTTGGACATACTCCCTGTACATATATATCCAAAGTTCACTTTAAAGTGAATGCAACTGTTATTGCTGCTGTTTATTTTGTAATTTGTTGCCTTCCTCTGCGATATGCATATATTGTCTGAGTGAGTAATTTGGCGGGTGCTGGTGGTGGATTGAAGGTTCATATGTGCTCTTATGTGAAATGTTTGGAAGCGTTTATATATCTATCTATTTAGGTGTATATGATTGCGTGCGTGCGTGTGTCTGCATGTGTTTGTATATATATATATATGTATATATATATATATATATGTGTGTGTGTGTGTGTGTGTGCGCGTTTTAAATGGAGGTGAATATGTGCGGTCACGTGTGTATGCGTGCGTTTATGTGTGTGTGTGTGTGTGTGTGTGTGTGTGTATGTTTGTGTGATGTGATGGTACCAAGAGTTTGTGCATCAAGTATCATTAAATAAAGTGGGTTTCTGCCTTCAGCGATAAGTGCTCTTGGCAAAAGTTCCAAGCCAAAAGTGCATTTCGTAAGTTTTTATCCTTCATTACTGTTATGCATTTTAGTTTTTGTGCTCCTTTGTTTAAGGAACACTAGAAAGCAATGTTCGTTCGCATAGGTCACAACAATAGTTTTTTTTTTTTTTTTTAAGTTTTAAGACATGTAAACTCACAACGCAAACTTTTGCGAGCATCCACTAAACACTGTTTATTTTTTATACATCTTAAGGTTTATTTTTTATTCTTCGTATTTTTTTTTTTTTTTTGTTTTTTTGTTTTCTTTTTTCTTTTTTCTATTTTTTTGTTTTTTTTGTTTTTCTTTTTTACAGACAGTAAAATTGTATACAGTATCGTATAATGTATTGTGTGTGGTTCGGACAGGTAGATGGTTGAGGATGTTAGCTGGTTGAACGGCGAAGGTAAGTGTACAACCAAGTTAAACATGCATAGGTTGAGAATTATGGTCAAGTGCCGGCTTTTCTATTAAGAGTTAGGGGTGCAAACTGACTGTGACGGGAAGGTTCTGATTCGGTACGTGGCACAAAGAACTCAAATGAATGAATGAGAAGCTAAGAATGCATAAATAATAAAGTTAGTTGGGCTGAATCGTAAAATATATGCATAGGACACACTCTGAAATGGGTCATAGTGCGTACAATGAATATGAGAAAATTTTGTTTTCATTTTTTTTCGTTGCTTCTCAATTTTTTTTTTTTTTTACATTTTTGTTCCTTCTTCTTAGTCAGTTGAAGGATGTGGTATTTTTGTAGTGTGTTGGATGATGGTGCTTTTTTTTTACTTGTAGTATTGTTTAATGTCTGCGTTTACCTGTGCAATTGTTTCGCTTACCTGCTCGGCAGTTTTGAGTAAATTTTCAATTTCAAAACTGCTAGTTCTAGAGGTTGGCTTGGTAACCGCTGCAACACCCATTTGAGACGAAATTGGTTCGACAAATGATGGAGCGGGGGAGCTTTCTGCTTCCGGCGAGTACAAGTCTTTACCGGTGCCATCTTGAAATTCAAAATTTAAAAAACAAAAACAAGCATAACTGTATTAACTGCGTTAACTGCATTCGTTTTATAATAGTTAAACTACAATTTGACTAAACTATGATTAACATCTATATGTATGAATTATATTGAATAGGCCGACGTTGTTCATTGAATAAAACACATATTTTACTGAAAAAGGAATAAAAAAAAAAAAAAATGTATAATCGTAGAAAGAGGTATTTATTGCGATCCGTCCAAATGTGTAACGTAAAGCTAATATTTTCAAGAGAGCGTTGAATATTTTCAAAGTTTATGCAAGAACGTTGAAAGCAATTTTGAATAAAGTGCAATTAGTTGCGGTGATCTGTTGATCTAGAGTGGGTAATTGCTATGAAAATTTCTATATAGAAAATTAACACCTTCATGTCTTGTGAAAACGAATGATTTATTTTGAAGAAGCATTTTGAACTCACCAACATGTTGAGTTTAATTGCTGTAGTTATTGCTGCTAGTGTACCTTATTAAATACTTTTGCTCCTGTTTATACTCATTAAAGTGCAATTACTTGCGTTCACTGTTATATTAAACATGGATGTACAATAGCTGCCTTAAGGCTGCCTTCTTAGTCAGCACGTAAGCAATGTTTTCTACATTTAAGTCGTACCTCAGCGTTATGGTTCGCTTTAGGCGGACAAGAATACATACTGATTATCAATATCCTCCGTTATAAGCCGATTTTAGTACTTTAATATATTCCCGGTTGACCATATATTGTTGATGCAGACTTTTTTTTTTTGCTTCAATTTTAAGCAATATTTTAATAGAATACAACAGCGTTTATTCGAAGAAAGTAAAGTTTATTTAAAGCATTCTCCATCGTTGCTAACCACTCTTTGCATTCCTCCTGCACATATCAAAGTCTCGACTGCGCTTATTGAACTAAATCTTACGAAAACCTTTAGGTAAGTACCCAGTCATCGATTGAAGCAAGTCTTGATTAGCAGGAGTAATGTTAACGCACTTCGGCTCGGAACTTTCAATGTCTTTTTGTTGAGTTTTTTAATAGCAGATCGAGCGTGGCCATACTGAGTAATTAGTGTCACGTGGCCTTTGGTGATTGGCTTAATAGCATTAATGATTTTCGGTACTAATGAGGTTTTCTAATGATGTTTTCGTTTAACTCGTGCCCAGCTCATATTGCAATGCACTTAGCAGATTACCTCTAACGGGGCCGTCGTCAATATTCGGGCTTGTCGTCTATGTTATAACGCAAGCATTTCTCATTCCACTGCATAAATTAGTAGCATTTTGTCTGCAAATTAGACAGGAAAAAGGAACGCTTCCCACTAACAGCGATTTTTAAAATGTCTATGTTTTATATATTGAGTGCACTTTGTCAGAGTGTTGTAAAGACTAAGGACGATACTTTAACATTAATTTTATAGAATACAGTGTTACCTGTACGCTCTCTTGAAAATAAAAGCTTAACAAGATATTATACTAACTATCAAACGGCGTGAAGAGTTTAGCGTATTGTTTAAATGCAAATAAGAATATAAAGGGATAGTAAGATTAAGAGCACTTACTCCAGCCTGGTGCGGGTACGATAAGGCCCGAAATCATTTCTTCGCTCATAACGGGGGGGTCCGTTGGTGGGGGTGGACAAACTAATGAATCGATCATATCGTCGGTAACGCGCATTATTCCTGCTAGATCTGGTGGTTCGGTACGCGATGAACTGACCGAGAGAAAATATTTTGAATTAAAGTCGTCATCCACATAATTAAATTAAACTTTACTGAAGAGAATATTTTAATACTCACCGCATCATCATGCTTAGAGATTGTTCTTCTTGCAGTACACTCTCCAAGTACATCATATCAAGGTCTGAGACAATGGCTCCATTGATGACCATTATTTCATCTCCTTTGATAATCCCTGCAAGAGACGATAATAGAATGAACAGGAAAACTTTAGCATTGCAGAGTACATCTTTCACACACACACATAACGAGAGAGAGAGAGAGAGAGAGAGAGAGAGAGAGAGATGTATACGGTCTATAAAAATTTCAAATGTTTAAAAAAACGTTAGTTTCGAAATTCGTCCTCCCTTCGTTTCTGTTGCTCTTTGGTTATTGCTTGCTATGGACAAGCTGAAAAGCGTATGCATTGAACAGACATTTGAGAAAAAACAAAACTAGACTTGATTATCAAGCTGCTGGATAATTAACAAAAATGGGTAAGCAAATGGATATGAAAAAATTGAGTATAAAGCGAATACAAGATATCTTTGCTAGTATGGTATACGTGTAGCTTAGTTTTTTGACTCGCATGATGATTGCGTTTCACAAAATGTAAAATATTTGGTTTAACGTACACTACTACTATATATACAGTTTTAGAAGAGCAAAGCGTAGTTAATGTTACCTTTAATTGGATAATACTATGTTATAGGATACTAATGTTAGAGGATTATCTTTACTGGCTCGCGTCAGAGTAAGATGAAGGATACATAAAATAGTCTTTATATCCTAGATGACTTATGACGCAGGGGTATACTAGGTTTGTGCAGATATATACAAAACCCAAAAGAACTTGAGATAAGTCCACCTATTATTGTACCGAAAATGATTCTGAATCGAACTAAGTTTGTCTGTCTCACCGTTCTGATGTCTGTCTACCTAATTATTGTTTTGTTTTGCGTTCATTTTACGGAGATATTTTGATGAAATCTTGTCCGGATCGGATCGTATATTTGACCACTTTTCCTATATGACATCTTATTTTAAAAAGTCATTACATGTGAATTAAGCGAATTAAGCAAAGCGATATAGGGTATTCAATTGTGCACGGTTGCCGACTATAATGTTTTCACTTGCTTCTATTCTTTAAAAATTTAAAATCATCGTTAAAATTTATTAGAAGCATAGGCGGAAGAGCGTGCAACACATACACAAGCATATTGTGTTTCAAAAAGATGTCAACTATTGTCCTTTTTCTAGCGAAAATTATTTCTATATTCTTTTAAATGCATATGGGCGCATAGTTTATTCATATTGAATATATACACAAATACATTTTTCTTGGGTGTACCTTTTAAAATGCTTACAAACAAGTGCATAAACATACACATAAAGGAACACCCTAAATTTGGCTAGTGTTTGTATTTTATTGTTGTGGAGCAAGTGTGCATTGTTTGACAATATATAGATATACGTTGTGTGCGTTTTTCTTTTTTATCTCTATATGCTCGACAAGTACGTCTATTGTTATATGATTCTTTTATAGCTTAGTTAATAGAAAACGAAACAACATAACAAAAGGTAAAAAAAAAAAAACAAAACTATCAAAGCAAAGAAAAGAAAAGAGAGAGAGAGAGAGAGAGAGAGAGAAAAAAAAAGAAAAGAAAAGAAAAAACAATATAACACAATATCTACACGAATTCTGTACTTTTATCTGTTTTGTCAATTGTTGTTAGTTTTTCCTTTTTCCTTTTATCGTAAATACTGGAAACAAACAAAGGCACAAATGTATAATAAATGTGTAGTTGTCGGCCCACACAAAATGCTATACCTATACCTATACCTATACCTATAATATTTTCGTAGAGATGACAAGACGGTAAGATTTCTTGCATTCATATTTAACCTTCGTGTCACGCAGTCGACAGGTTGCCTAAAATTAAGTGAGATAGGTGTTTTGATATTCAAATGAATTAAACGTATCAAACAAAATATATTTAAAATCGGGTTTTAAGGGCTTTTAAGGTCTCATCGATATATATAATTTGTAGCCTATTCGTCGGCATTATATTTTCAAGGATATTTGTCATCATTTTAAATAAGTCCATTCAATAACTTTCACGGCTTCGCATTTCAATCCGAAACGCTGATGAAAGGAAAGGCATATGAGAAATGAAAGGAAACCAGGTTGCTTCATAAAAACTTTATGGCACCTGTGGGTATCTTATATGAACGAAAATATTCTTTTGGTAACAATCAATCAAATATCCTCATTAAAAAGCTCTTAGCAAATATATTATAACACTATTCAATGCCAAGTGGAGGACGGGGAGGCATTTTAATAAAAATTATGTAAATATATTACTTCTGGGATATCTCACATGGAAATTGTGATAGCGAATATGATCGTTAAAGTATATCCGAAAGAGGGAATTGTATTCGTTACGTAATATCTCATTTAAATAATTTATTGAGATGCCTGCAATTAAAATATTTTGTGGCAATTTCGTTTAAGAGTAATTTATTTACTCTATACTCGTCAGAATGAAATTTAATTTGTAATCATTTTTTAGCAGCTCCACTGCTGATATATTTAGCTTTTATGATTCAAATAAAGAAATCGACTACCTACAGTGCACTGCCGCATATCCTTAGCGGCTATATGAACGGCTGAATGGCGTATAAATATTTGAATACATTGGGCTAAGGAAAGAGGGGAAATTTTGCTTCTTCATCACTGTTTCGTTGTTTTCCGTTCAATTTTATTTATGTTTTGTTCTTCTATTCTGTACGGTTCTGTATCGTTCTGTTTTGTTTTGTGCTTTTCTGCGCTGTTCTCTTCTTTTCTCTTTTCCTATCTTCTCTTCACTTCGCTTTGCTTCATTTCATGTCACGTCTCGTCACTTTACTTCACTTCACTTTATTTCATTTCACTTCACTTCACGTCACTTCACTTCACTTCACTT